ACACACACACACACACACACACACACATAAACACACACACACACACAAACATACACACACACACACACACACACAGACAAACCCCTACACACACCCATCCCCCTATATACAAACACACACACACACACACACACACACACACACACACACACACAGACACACACACACACAGACACACACACACAGACACACACACACACACACAGACAAAAAAACCCAAAAACTTACGTATTCCTCAGAAGGATGACACAACAGCAGACTGCCAAAGAGTTGCATCCCCGCGTAGCAGCCCCCGAGCAGTAAAAACACGTGTGGGACTCTCTGCAACATCTCGGGGTCGTGGAAGTACCTGGGAGAAGAATAATGATAATAATAATAATAATAATAATAATAATAATAATAATAATAATAATAATAATGATGATGACAATATCATCATTTATTTTATGCTTATTATTTTCATCCTTACCCAAGAAGGCACAGAGCAGAGCCATATATGGCTGAACGACAAGGAACTTGGGACAGTGGACAAGTTCTGTTACCTGGGGTCTACCATCAGCTCTACTACATCACTTGATTATGAGATCAACACCAGGATAGGGAAAGCAGCAACAACTTTTGGAAGGCTGACAAAACGAGCATGGGAACACAAAAGATTAACCATTGAAACAAAGATCAAGATTTACGAAGCATGTGTCCTCAGCACACTCCTTTATGGATCTGAAACATGGACCTTGTACAGCAGGCAAGAAACGCGCCCGACATTTTCCACCTCAGATGCTGCCGCAAGATCTTAGGCATTTCGTGGCGTGACAAGGTTACAAATGTTGAAGTGTTGGCACGGGCAAACCTCCAGGGCATGACAACTATCCTGTGTTTAAAAAGATTGTGGTGGCTGGGCCATGTCAAGAGAACGGACGACAACCGGATTCCGAAGCAACTTCTCTTTGGAGAACTTGCCCAGGGAAAAAGACCAAGAGGAAGACCAAAATTGAGGTACAAAGACACCAGCAAAAACAGCTTATCTAAGCTTGGAGTAGATATTAGCATCTGGGAAGAAATAGCTGAAGACAGGAAAACATGGAGGAAAATGATAAAGGAAAGAACTACAATGCTAGAGAGCAGCCTCAGAAACAACCAGGCTGAGAAGCGCCAACGACGAAAGGAAAACAGCGGAAATACAGAGCTTCGATCTACGTCACTGACATGCAAGCTCTGAGACAGAATCTGCGCTTCAAACATAGGAAGAATTAGCCATGAAAGAAGCTGCATTAAGACAGCCTTGAGACCATCTTAAGCTAAATTGACCGTCTGCATAGACGAAAAGAGCCTTACATTATTTTCATAATTGTTATTGCTGCTATTATTAAATTATTATTCCCATCATTTTTATTGTTTTTATTATTTATTATTATCATCATTTTATTATTATAAATATTATTACTATTACTATTATTATTATTATTATCATTATTATTATTATCACTATCATTATCACTATTATTATTATTATTATCACTACATGTATTATCATTATTATTATTTTTATCATTGTTATTTTTATTTATCATTATTATTATAATCATAATAATACTATAATAATAACAATTAGTATAACAATTATTATTACTATTATTATTCCTAATATTACGAGTAACTCACCCCTCTTCATCAGTCTCCCCTGGTGACCCCCGTCCCAGCTTCAGGTTGTCCGGGTTGATGAAGGCCGTCTGTACCTGGTTGAAGATGAAGGCTCCGCCCCCAAACCCGGCCACCACAACGCCGTTGGCCAGGCCCTTCCGGTTCGGAAACCACTGTTTTAGAGATACAGTTTTTCGTTGTAGTAGAGGTCTGACGGCGCATACGTTCATATGAGCGCCAGAAGATTAGAGGTGTTACAAGAGAGTAACAAACATTAAAAAGAAAAAAGGGAGATAAGGACGATAGATGTTTGATAGGAAAGAAGAAGCAAACCACACCAGAGCACCCGCCAACCACCCACGTTTTAGAGATAAAGTTTAGTTTGGCTTTAGTGAGACATTTCAACCGCACTAGCGTTACGATAAGGTCCTACTTGTTTGTTGGAGCAAAGAGAAGTATCGATACGATAAGGTCCTACTTGTTTGTTGGAGCAAAGAGAAGTATTGATACGATAAGGTCCTACTTGTTTGTTGGAGCAAAGAGAAGTATCGATACGATAATGCTGATGTAATGCTGGGAAGGCTTGAACGGGGAAACGTCAGAAAGGAAGACCAAAGATGACATAGAGGCGAGCGGTACAAGCCGAAATGGAAAAGGCGGTGGCATCATGGAAACAGGTAGAAAAGGATGCACAGGACAGGCTTCGCTGGAGAAATGTTGTTGATGGCCTATGCTCCACTGGGAGTTAAAAAGGGAAAGAGAAAGAGAGAGAGAGAGAGAGAGAGAGAGAGAGAGAGAGAGAGAGAGAGAGAGAGAGAGAGAGAGAGACAGAGACAGAGAGAGAGAGACAGAGACAGAGACAGAGACAGACAGAGACAGAGAGAGACAGAGAGAGAGAGAGAGAGAGAGAGAGAGAGAGAGAGAGAGAGAGAGAGAGAGAGACAGAGACAGAGACAGAGACAGAGAGAGACAGAGAGAGAGAGACAGAGACAGAGACAGAGAGAGACAGAGAGAGACAGAGAGAGACACAGAGAGAGAGAGAGAGAGAGAGAGAGAGAGAGAGAGAGAGAGAGAGAGAGAGAGAGAGAGAGAGCATGCTGGGGAAAAGTAACACAGACATACAGAAAGAACAGAGGGAAAGTAAAGAAGCAGGACATACCAGCGACGCCCTCTAACCACCCACAACAAGGTAATACGTGCCTA